TTTTATGTCTCTTTGCGGTCATTCTGTGTCTTTGTAGAGTAATTTAGTACCTCTTTGTGTGTCTGTTTTGTGTCTCTTTGGTCATTTTCTGTCACTTTGTGGCTCTTTTTTGTCTTTGTGGTAATTTTTAGTCTCTTTTGTGTCTCTGGTCATTTTGTGTTTCTTTACGGTCATTTTGTTTCTTTCTGTCTTTTTTGTGTCGCTTTATGGTGATTTAGTGGCACACTGTTGTTCTGCATCTCTTTGTGGCTGTTTTGTGCCTCTTTGTAGTCTCTTCGTCTCTCTTTATGGTCATGTTGTGTCCCTTTATAGCTGTTGTGTGTCTCCTTTTGTGTTTTTTTTTTGTGACCATTCTGTGTTGCTTTGGGCTCATTTGTTGTCTCTTTGTGTCTTTTTTTCCCTCTTGTAATAGTTAAGTATCACTTTGTGGTAATTTGCCGTCATGTTGCTGTTTTGCATCTCTTTGTTTTGTTTCTTTGTGAGCATTTGGTATTTCTTTGTGTGGTTGTTTTGTGTTGCTATGTTTCTCTTTATGTCTCTTTTGAGCTGTTATGCGTGTATGTGGTTGTTTTGTGAATCTTTGTATTTGTTTTGTGTCTTTGTAGCTGTTTCGTGTCTCTTTGTGGTTGTTTTGTGAATCTTTGAAGTAAAAGCTCTTTCTTTGCACCATCGCAGTATTTATAGTGTTGAAACTAACAGTAACGGTTGTGTTTGTCTCAGCTGCGTCTTCCTCACCTTCTCCGTTCACGTCGATCCTCTCAAATATGAGCGCGACGATCTCCTCGGGGTCGATGTCTCGGTTCCTTGTGATGTCCTGGATGGCCTGCAGGGGGAAGATAAACACCATTCGACTCAGATACACGGCGGGAAAACAACAAAACAAGCTCAAACGGCAAAAATGTTAACTTTTAAAAGCTCCAATTCAGAAGTAGAGTCGACCAGTGTGGGTTTTTCAGGCCTGAAGATGATTATTATTAATCAAGTCGTGCCAAAACTGATATGTGGAACAGTAGAAATTTAAATCTTGATGTTAGCAATTGAAAACAAACTCTAACACAAGACTTTTTGGCAATATTTACATGTTTAATTAATTTGTGACGTTCATTCATCACGGTCCATAGATATTTAGAGGTGTGTTGTGGGTACATCCATCCATCCATTATCTATACACCGCTTAATCCTCACTAGGGTCGCGCTTCACTCAGGG